CACACACACACACACACACACACACACACATACACATGCGGAAGAGAGATGCAGAAGAGGGAGTGTATCGACGGAGGGTGTGGAGGAGGAGGACGATGGCGGTTATGGAGGAGGAGGAGGAAAGTAGGTGTAGGAGGGCGAGGAGAGTAATAGAGGAGGAGGAGGAGGAGGAGGAGGAGAAGGGAGGAGGGAGGAGGGAGGAGGGAGGAGGGTGATGCTCCCGAAACCCCCAAATTGGAAGGGAAAAATACAAAATGAAGTTTGCATTTGCATGATCTCAGAGTGCATTCGCATTCTCCGGAGAATGAACGCGTTCTCTGCAAGAACGAGAACACGGTGCTATGCAGCTTCAAACTTTTTTTTTTTTTTTTTTGAAACTCCTGGTCCCTGGTATGCTAACATCACAGTTTCAAAATCAATAAAACAGTATTAAAACCACAATTTTCAAAAAAATTGTAACATTAGGGATATGAAATTATGCATCATAGATGTTTCCCTGCATGTTGCCCCCCTGCATGTTGGGAATCAATAAAACGGTATTAAAACCACAATGTTGATTATAAAAGCTACGTAGCATCGTGTTCACGTTTGGAGGCGAACCTGAACATGTTCGCTTAAACGCGAACGAGTGCCTCAAACCCTCTGAACGTGAACATAAAAAAATATTTAAGAAAAAAACAAATTTCAGAAAAATCTGAAAAATATATATGTGATGTAAAACAGTAAAACAACAATACAAGCAACTTTTGCCTTGGAGTCTTGTTCAAATTGTTAGCCATGCGATATCCGGTATGTCGTCTAGCGAGTGAGGGAAGTGGGAAAGTGGGGAAACGAAGTAGTTATGGGTTGGGAGATGGTGGAAACCCCCTGAGGAGGCAACATGGCTGTTGCCAAAACTTGCGTCGGGGATGCCAAATTCTCATTTTCTTGTGTTATACTTTCTATCTTTCGAATTGAGATGACTATCTTTGCTCACGATTTGTCTCAAACTGTTTCGTTTGCGAACTGCTTTGTGATTTTTCGTTGACTTGTTCACGACTTGTCTCAAACTATTTCGTTTGCGAACTGCTTTGTGATTTTTCCCTGACTACATGCGTTTGTCACCATGTACCTTTTTAAACATCTTCGACAGTGTACACAAAGTTATTTTTGAGAAATACAAAATACAAAATATAAAATATAAAATACTAGGCTACCAGCCAGGCCGCCCAGGTCCAGGGTGGCCAGCCCGTGCAAGGACAAGGGAAGGTCCCAGCAAAAAAAACAAAAAATCCAGAAAATCCGACAAAAAACTATGTTATGCAGAAAAATAAACTGAACAACTTTTGCCTCGGGGTCACATCGAAATTCTTTACCAAATTAAAAATATAAAATTTTTAAATATATATCTTTTTGGTCCGGCCGGGCAAGTGACCCCTGGCCACTCTGGTAGCCTTAGATCAAATATAAAAAAAACTCAAAAAAGTTAACACTAAAGTATGGTTGCTGCCAGAAATAAGCTGTTCGATTTCGGCATGTACACCTGGACTCGTAATGATAGATTTATCCAGGAGTCAGTTCAAGTAATCATAAATTAGCAACTTCAGCAAAGTCCGGCAAAGAATTCGCTCGCCCAAAGCACGTCTCCTTCAACTTTTTCATTATTGTCATTTTGTTTTTGTGGTCATCTAGGGGCCGGAGACGGGACAACGGCTCTCTTTGATGCAAGGACTTATGGAGGCATCGCTCGTATACCACTTGCACGGGATTGTGAGGTGAGAGGGCCTCTCTCTCTCTCTCTCTCTCTCTCTCTCTCTCTCTCTCTCTCTCTCTCTCT